AAAAAAAAAAATTCATGATAATATTAAGTGTAAAAATAAAATAAAATAAATATTAAGTGAAAAAATAAATTAGAAAATTGCATGAGCTGGGTGATGTGGTGTGAGCCTGCAATCCCAGCTACTCAGGAGGCTGAGGCAGGAGGATTGCTTGAACCTAGTAGTTAACAGACAAGCCTGGCAACAGACTAAGACACCATCTCAAAAAAGAAAACTGCATGACTACCATGACAATATTTACATAAGGTATTTATACAAATGGCCAAAGACTTGAAAGTAATATGCAAAAATAAATCAATAAATGAATTATGAATATAGGATTATGTAATATAGCCCTTTAAAAAATAAATTTAACAAAAACTTCAAATGACTTTATTATAATTTTTAAAAATATTAAGTCCTTTGCCTGGGGGTGGTGGCTCACGCCTGTAATCCCAGTACTTTGGGAGGCCAAGGCAGGCAGATCACTTGAGGCTAGGAGTTCAAGACCAGTATGACCAACATAGCGAAACCCTGTCTCTACTAAAAATACCAATTAAATAAATAAATAAAAGTCCTCAAAAAGTTTATTTTTCCATTTCACTTTTCAGTTTTTGTATTTAAAAAAGAACTGCTCTGGCTAGGCACAGCGGCTCATGCCTGTAATCCCAGCACTCTGGGAGGCCAAGGTATTTGTCTTCTGCAATGTCATGAGTATCTGAGCTCAGATGGTCATCTTTATAAAGCTGTGGGTGTTGTGGCAGTACCAACAGCTATCTGTACCCCCTTAATGGATGGAAACACTGATGTAAAGAACCAGTTGTCTAAAACTTCTTATCAAGACAGTATAGGAATCACAATCACAGTCAGGGGTGCCAGCTTCCAATTAAGCAATTATAACACTTAACCAAGCTCTAATTCCAGCTTCTTCTCTAAGGAAGGGGTTTGATGGATATGATCTCTGCTTGACTCTTGCTAACAATTCAGGAAGCATTCACTGTGTTTTGTTAAGTGAATGAGTAGGAAAAGGGTTTCAAAACAATGGCAAAGCTCCTGCTCTTGGGAAGCTTACAATCTTTTGGGGTAAAACTTACAAATATGCAACAACTAGAAGGCAATTACTTTGATTCTTATTTTATTATTATTTTTTTCGAGATACAGTCTTGCTCTGTTGCCCAGGCTGGAGTGCAGTGGCAAGATCTTAGCTCACTGCAACCTCTGCCTCCTGGGTTCAAGCAATTCTCCTGCCTCAGCCTCCTGAGTAGCTGGGATTACAGGTGTGCACCACTATGCCCAGCTAATTTTTCTATTTTCAGTAGAGATGGGGTTTCACCATGTTGGCGAGGCTGGTCTCAAACTCCTGACCACAAGTGATCTGCCCAACTCGGCTTCCCAAAGTGCCGGGATTATAGGCATGAGCCACTGTACCTGGCCACGGAAGGTAATTACTAAACAACCTATGAACTAGTGTACAAACTATATCCAGTAACTAAAGGAATAAGGAATAATCAAAATGTCCTCAGTCAAAAATGCTGACCAAGTTGTGGCAGACAAATCAAACTGTGTCCTATAAAAAGGTGACAGCCGTGGACTGTCCAAGAGGAAGAAAGAAGAACTTCAGGGCTGCATATTCCCCTTGCATGGGGATAGTATGCTGAAGAATGTGGAATGAGAATAGGGGGTTGCAAGTAGGGACAGTTGGTGCCAACCCTGGTATTAGGCTAAAAGTTTTTAAAACTATATTTTAAAAGATTTTTAAAAATTGAGACAAGCTTTCACTATGTTGCCCAGGCTGGTCTCAAATCCCTAAGCTCACAGTGCTCCAGCTGCCTTGGCCTCCCAAAGTGCTAGGATTACAGGTGTAAGCCACCCTGCCTGGCCAATATTAGGCTAAATTTAGATCTTACATGATGGGCAGTAAAGAAGGACCATAAGGAGCTGGTAAGTAACTTAGGCAGAGAAATGAAATAATAAGGTATATATTTTACTTCAGAACACTTCCCAAAATATACCCAGAAAAAAAGAATTATTTGGGATAAAGAAGACTATTTCTGGTGCGCAGGGAGTCTTCTTTAATACAGTAGTCCTCTTTTATCTGTGGTTTTGCTTTCCACAGTTTCAGTTACCCATGGTCAACTTTGGCCAAAACATATTAAATGGAAAATTTCGAAAATAAACATTTCAAAAGTTTTAAATTTTGCACTGTTCTGAATAGTGTGATGAAATCTCACACAATCCTGCTCCTTCTTGCCTGGAAATCATGCTTCTCCAAAGTATCCATACTGTCTATGCTACTAACCTGTTAGTCACCTATGAGCCATCTCAGCTGGATGAACTATCATGGTATCTCAGTGCTAGTGTTCAAGTAACCCTTATTTTACTTATCAATGGCTCTAAAGTGCAAGAGTAGTGATTCTGACAACTTAGATATGCCAAAGAAAAGCCGTAAAATGCTTCCTTTTGAGAAAAGGTGAAAATTTTTATATAAGAAAAGAAAAAAATTGTATGCTAAGGTTGATAAGATCTAGAGTAGAAATGAATCTTCTGGCCATGTAAAGAAGTGTAAAGAAGAAAAAAGAGTGGCCAGGCCATCCTGGCTAATATGGTGAAAACCCATCTCTAGAAATAATTAAAAAAGAAAAAGAAAAGAAATGGTCAGCATGAGCACCATTCCATCTAAACTTTGTCCTAGTCACTACACCCATAACTATGCTGCCAATATGGCAGCATAAAGAAAAGGAAAGGCTGTCAAGCATAAGGAAAGGAAATGGTGCTAAGAAACCTTCAGAAACATGCATCTGAAGAAAACTGGTAGAGGAATCAGTAAGTGAAAGACAGATACAGATTGCAAACAGTATTGTGAGGCCTCCAGGAATCCTTCAGGAGAGGAAACTGTGCATAAGGTATAATTCCCTACTTCTGACACCCCACAGACTGCCTGCCATCGGGCAAAGCAGCAGCTGGTAAGTTATAAAAGGCCCCCAACCCATGGCTTTTTCCACTGAACAAAAGGAAAATTTTGTTTCCTGTTAATATCCCAAGGGAAAGGCAAGGAGTTACGGGAGTTGGGTTTATAAAGCATGACAGTCTCAAATCCTTGACAGTCTTTCCTAATCAGCACTGCCAAACAAATCAAATTTCTCTTGTTGGGGTCAAAATCTAATTGAAATATATAAATTAGAGCACGATAATTTTCTTTATCATAAAGTATTTTCCTTCCTCCCTCACTATAAGTCAAATAACCTTTAGATGAAACGTTAACACTAACAATCTGGCTCTTCAGTGAAATCAAATGCAGAATGCTCACTGACCACCGACAAATGGGCTGTGCTGTGCTTATGCTCTCAATTTGGCAGTGACTGAGGAACAAAAATGTCAGTCAAGGAGGCAAGACAAGTTTCTGAAGGAAAGCAAGCTTTGTCTTCAGCTGCCACAATATGACAGGGGCTACTTACATGGTTTCTGTCCTGGGACAGCAGCAATATCCTAAGGCTTTTCATGCTTGAGCTTCTATCCAAAATGTCAATTGCTTTATCAAGATCATCTTGGTTTTTCAGCAGGATGGAGAGCTGTGATACAAGACAGAGAAAAGGGAAATAATATAAAACAGAAGTCTATCTCAATGTTTCACTTTGCAGAAATAAACAAAAAAATAAGAATGTTTGGAGGAAAATAATCTCATTGGATACTATGGGGTCTTAAAAGATCTAGTTGAAACTAAAGAGACTTTTTTTTCCTCTAAATATACAATTCAATAATTTGTAGTACCTTTACATAGTTGTGCAACCATCATCATAATCCAATTTTAAAACATTTCCAAAACTCCAGCAGGATATCTTCTGCCCATTTATAGACTCCTCCTTCCCACCTCCAGCCCCAGGCCACTACTACTCTACTTTGTGTCTCTATCGATTTGCCTTTTCTGGACATTTCATTCCATTTAGAATCATACAATTCATATATATTCATTTCAATTCAAAAAGATTCAATCTTTTGCAACTAGCTTCTTTCACTTAGTGTTTTTTAGTTCATCCATGCTGAACACACCTCAGTACCCAGTTGTGAGATACTTTCTGAGAAGAGCTTCCTTTCCAAAAATACCATGTACTTCAAAGCATCAAATCACAAACAGTTATAGACTCCATATTCTTTTCCAAATTAAGCAGCAGAATCATATCCCACTCTATCTCCAATTGCACTGACATTAACAGAACAAGCAGAAAAGGAACAGGATGGGTAGAGGGATGGTCAGAGGATGAAAATTGTTATACAAATAAAAACACAAATTTAGACTGCATAGGATGGTTTAATATCTTTCTGTTTAAGGGCAAAGTCAATGACTAGAACCTGTAAACTACCTCCTCCATTCTCATGGAGGTTTTCCCCCTTTGCTTAGCACTTCTCTCTCCTGTTGCCATATGAAGGACGTGTTTGCTTTCCCTTCCGTCATGATTTTAAGTTTCCTGAGGCCTCCCCAGCCATGCTGAACTGTGAGTCAATTAAACCTCTTTCCTTTATAAATTACCCAGACTTGGGCAGTTTCCTACAGCAGCATGAGAACAGAATAATACACTCATATGTTCCAGTGAAGTATTAAATAGACGGTCCCTGAGGGTACAAATAAGTCTCACTCACTGCAAAAAGCAGAGCATGTTATGAATGCTTTGTATTAAGAGATTCATAAAATGTAAAAGTATGCCTCGCCTATGACCTAGCGAACGTCAGATCTTATTGTTATTTGGAGACGGAGTCTCACTCTGTTGCCCAGGCTGGAGTGCAGCGGCACAGTCTCAACTTGCTGCAACCTTCACCTCCTGGGTTTAAGCGATTCTCCTGCCTTAGCCTCCAGAGTAGCTGGGATTACAGGTACATGCCACCACACCCCACTAATTTTTACGTTTTTTTTTTTTTTTTTTTTTTTTTTTTTTTAGGAGAGACAGGGTTTCACCATATTGGCTGGTCTTAAACTCCTGACCTCAAGTAATCTGCCCGCTTTAGCCTACCAAAGTGCTGGGATTACAGGAAAGAGCTACAATGCCTGGCCAGATTTTATACATGTATGGTAAACACAAAATCAAGCAAAAGTCCAACTAATTTATTCAGTTCCCAATTTATAATACAAGATTTTTTCTGAGACAGCATCTGCCTCTGTCACTCCAGCTGTAGTGCAGTGGCTCGATCTCAGTTCACAGCAACCTCCATCTCCCGGGTTAAAGTGATTCTCCTGCCTCAGCCTCTCAAGTAGCTGGGATTACAGCATGAGCCACCATGCCAGACTAATTTTTGTATTTTTTGTACAGACAGGGTTTCACCATGTTGCCCAGGTTGGTCTTGAACTCCTGAGCTCAAGCAATCCGCCAACCTCAGGCCTCCCAAAGTGTTGGGATTATAGGCATGAACCACCACGCCTGGCCAAAAACAGTATATATTTAAAATAAAATCTCAAAACTACTTATGGAATAGGAGCATGTTCTGTAAATCATATTACATTGCAAAATAATTTCTTCCTGGGTGACATTCAAAGTGGGAATAAAAAACAATTGTTGGGAAGGGAGTTAAATAAATTAGAGTAGGTATTAGCTTTCAAAAAACCAAGTAGCTGGGCATAGTGGCTCACACCTGTAATCCTGGGAGGCTGGGGCAGAGGATCACCTGAGGTCATGAGTTTAAGACCAGCCTAGGCAAAATAGTGAGACCCTCATCTCTACAAAAAAATTTTTTTAATTGTGGTGGCACATGTCTATAGTCCCAGTTACTAGGGAGACTGAGGAGGGAGAATCCCTTGAACACAGGATGTAGAGGCTACAGTGAGCCATGATTGCACACCACACTCTGGCCTGGGCAACAAAGTGAAACCCTATCTCAAACCAAAAACAAAAGCAAAACCCAGAGTGACATATTACTTTACACCTACTAGGATGGCTACTAAGAAAAATAAGAAAATAACAAATGTTGGTAAGGATGGTGGAGAAACTGTAGCCCTCATTGATATGGTTTGGCTGCATCCCCGCCCAAATCCCATCTTGAATTGTAGCTCCAATAATCTCCCCTAAAGTAAAGACTTTAGTGTCATGGCAGGGACCTGGTGGGAGGTAACTGAATCATGAGTGTGGTTACCCCCATCCTGCTGTTCTCCTGATAGTGAGTTCTCATGAGATCTGATGGTTTTATAAGAGGCTTTTCCCCCTTTGCTTGGCACTTCCCTCTCCTGTCGCTATGTAAAGGACGTGTTTGCTTTCCCTTCCATCATGATTGTAAGTTTCCTGAGGCCTCCCCAGCCATACTGAACTGTGAGTAAAGTAAGCCTCTTTCCTTTATAAATCACCCAATCCTGGGCAGTTTTTACAGCAGAGTGAGAACAGACTAATACACTCATACATTGCTAGCGGGACTGTAAAACTGTGCAACCATTATAGAAAAGCTGGGCAGTTCCTCAAAAAATTAGAGTTATCTTATGACCCAGCAATCTACTCCTAGTATATACCTTACAGAATCGAAAACATATGTTCATGTAAACACTTGTACACAAATGTTCACAGCAGCACTATTTAATCACCAAAAAGTGAAAACAACCCAAATGTCTATCAATAGATGAACAGATACACAAAATGTGGTATATCCGTAAATGGAATATTTATTATTCAGTCATAAAATAGAATGAAGTACTGACAACATGCTATAACACAGATGACCCTTGAAAACATATGCTTAGTGAAAGAAGCCAGATTAAAAAAAGGCCACATACTGTATGACTCCACTTACATGAAATGTTCAGAATAGGCAAATCCAAAGAGACAGAAAGATAAGTGCTTACCAAGAGCTTGAAAGAGGAGAGAAAGGGGAATAACTGCTAATGGGTATAGGGTTTCTCTTCGGAGTGATGAAAATGTTCTGTAGGCTGGGAGCAGTGGCTCATGCCTGTAATCCCAGCACTTTGGGAGGCTGAGGCAGGCATATCGCTTGAGCTCAGGAATTTGAGACCAGCCTGGGCAACACGGCAAAACTCTGTTTCCATAAAAAATACAAAAAAATTAGCTGCGTGTGGTGGTGTGTGCCTATAGTCCCAGCTTGGGGGACTGAGGCGGGAAGGTCGCTTGAGTGCAGAAGGTCAAGGCTGCAGTCAGCCGTGTTTACGACACTGCACTTCCAGCCTGGGCGACTGAGCAAGACTCTGTCTCAGAAAAAGAAAGAAAATGTTCTGGAATTAGACAGCAGCGTTGGTTACACAACTCTATCAGCATACTAAAAACCACTGAATGATATACTTTAAGAGGATAAATTTTGTATCTCAATAAAGCTATAATTACAAAGACGTAAATAAAATAAAATCTCAGTAGAGTTTTCATTTGGGATTCTCAGATCCTCACAGTGCAGGGTTTAAAGGGCAAAGAAAAGAAAGGAATTGAGGGATTTTAAATTAATCAAATATAAGTTAGTCAATACCTGATCATTAACATTAGCAGAGTATGTTAAGACATGTATGAACTAAAATAATAACAATGATTTATATTTGGCTTTAGCATAAAGAAATATCAGGAATTCTTTTTTTTTTTTTTTTTTTTTTTTTTGAGATGGAGTTTCACTCATGTTACCCGGGCTGGAGTGCAATGGCGCGATCTCGGCTCACCACAACCTCCGCCTCCTGGATTCAGGCAATTCTCCTGCCCCAGCCTCCTGAGTAGCTGGGATTACAGGCACGTACCACCATGCCCAGCTAATTTTTTGTATTTTTAGTAGAGACGGGGTTTCACCATGTTGACCAGGATGGTCTCGATCTCTTGACCTCGTGATCCACCCGCCTTGGCCTCCCAAAGTGCTGGGATTGCAGGCTTGAGCCAGCGCGCCCGGCCCATATCAGGAATTCTTAATGGAAATACTAACTAAAAAAGACTACTAAATCATCCAGAAAAGGCTTTACTAACTAAAGAACTTTTTTTTTTTTTTTTGGACGGAGTCTCACTCTGTAGCCCAGGCTCGAGCAGTGGTACAATCTTTGCTCACTGCAACCTATGCTTCCCAGGTCCTGGTTCAAGCAATTATCCTGCCTCAACCTCCCAAGTAGCGGGGATTACAGGTGCACACCACCATGCCCAGCTAATTGTTTTTGTATTTTTAGAAGAGACGGAGTTTCAACATGTTGGCCAGGCTAGTCTTGAACTCTCCTGACCTTGTGATCCGCCTGCCTTGGCCTCCCAAAGTGATGGGAGTACAGGCATGAGCCACTACGCCCGGCCAAGAACATCTTATTTAATGTTGATTAGCTAACTGACTTTAGCCTCACTTTCATACACAATTACTAAAACTTGGACTGCACTATGTGAAATTTTTTAAAGTTCTGTGGATTTGACATTTATATTTTTGGGATTCTAATACCTTATAACTAAAATGTGTTAGTTTATATAGTTTGAAATATTTGCATCTGTATTATTAACTAGAGAGTTAGTGACTTGTTTTCCAAATTTTCTGTATTTCTAAAATTTATCCAAAAAAACAAAAGATCAGAGGGTTTTATTTTAGTAAGCTATTTGACAGTAGCTGTATATTTTGTAGGAAGGGAACCAGAGAGTGTTTCAGCAAAAAAATCTCAGCACCTGCAGATTTCACTCCTAAACTATAAAGAAAAATTTTAACTCATCAAATAAAATAAAACTACACAGTGATGATCTGACTCTCCAAGGGTCATGATATTTCCCAGCTTTCTTGTCTTGCACCCCTAACTCAGTTTCCTCGAGATATACCTTCTTTACTCAGCATAAATACACTGCCTTTCAGACTAGTACAAAGCACCAGCCTAAGCTGATTGTAAGCAGCCCAGAAACTAACATTCAAAAGAATTCCTTCCTGGGTGATATTCAAAGTAGAAATAAATAAGGACTGTTGGGGTAGAGTGAGGAGGAGGAGGAGTTAAAGAATTTATTGGAGCAGGTGCTAACTTTAGAAAGAAATAAGCTCCAATCAGAAGTTAAATTCTGAGAGAAGAATCCAGCATTTATAACTGTAACAGATGATCTACTCACTGGTTTGTCACACCTCCCTAGCCCCTGCTGAACCCTCTGCTTCTTGTTAAGGCTGTGCTGGGGCAAAAAAAAAAAAAAAAAAAAAAAAGATACTCTTACAAAATAAAAAGGAGGCAATATAAGCCATAGACCTGGTATCATACCTGATTTCACCATGGAATATTAGCGCTATCTGCACTGAATAAGTAGGGGGAATGGAGATGGCTCAGTAATCTCCCATGTAGTAAAAGACAGAAATCCTGAAGTTGTTGGAATTAAGAAAAGGGGGTGTAGAAAATGAAAACCTGCAGACGATTTTAGAGGAACAAACTTTAAAAGGCTCTGTTAAACAGAGAGAAAAAAGTAGGCATCTGTCCCTCTTGTCCCTGCCCCATCCATCTACCTTCTCACCTCATTGTTCATGTAATGTAGATCAAGAGGTTGTCCAAATACTGTTGTCACCTTGTGTTCCACATCTTCGTATTTCACAGGCCGGCTGAACGCTATAATTCTGAAAAGAAACAGAAAGCCTGGTTAACTGTATACTTAAAATGCAGGGTTTAGAAACAATGGTCTGAGTATATTCTTCCTTTCTTCTCAACATAGGATTCTCTGTTTTCTTTCACTCGGTTTGCCTCATCCCTATTGTTTCCTTTTTCCTCTTCTCTACGTTTACCTTTTCACCCTCTGAGCATCTGTCAGGTTTGACAACAGTACTCATAACTATTGCTCACTCCCAACCATTAATCTACCACTTCAGCTTAGACTCTTCTGCCAATGACAGAAGAGGCCACTAGAAACTATGTTCCAACAATGAGAACATACATACACATGGAAAGGGAACAATACACCCTGGGGGTGTTGGGGCTTGAGGAGAGAGAGCATCAGGAAGGATAGCTAATGCATGCTGGGCTTAACACGTAGGTGGTGCATTGATCGGTGCAGTAAACCACCATGGCACACGTTTATCTATGAAACAAACCTGCACATCCTACACATGTACCGTAAAACTTAAAAGTTGAAAGAAAAAATTATTTAGGAAATAAGCTAGAAAACATAAGAGACTGTAAACATAGAAATAAGCTAGAAAACATAAGCTAGAAACATAGCAGTCCTGAAAACATGGCCTCAACTCCTAAGGGACTCAACTCCAGGACTTGAAAGGTCTTTTCCATTGTTCATCTTTGAGATGCCATAAGAATCTCAATACTGATTTTCCTCAGAATTATGAGTTTCTACTACAGAATCATAGGAATTCCCCCTTGAGTTGGTGATATGCCTGATCAGTTTTCTTAACCAGTGACATATCTGTGCATGTAAGTAGTACTGACATTGAAGCTTTTCTGGAGAGACTCATTAGGTCAGTTCAAAGAACAATTTCTATAAATACAAGGTAGAGTAAGGACTCATCCAAAGAGGTGTAAAATATGATTTATTAAATACTTCAGCAAAATTGAAAAGTGGGAATTGATAAAACAAGATTGGGAAAACGTTAGTAATGTTGAAGCTCGGTGACAGGTTCATGGGAGTTCAGTGTAATACTCTGTCTACTTTTGTGTGTGCTTGAAATTTCCATAATAAAAAGTTGTGGGTTTTTTATTTTTATTTTTTATCCCTCCCCAACTCCCTACCCCCTACTGTCCCCCCACTAGTCCTCCCCCAACAGACCTCAGTGTGTGATGCTCCCTTCCCTGTGTCCACGGGTTCTCATTGCTCAACACTCGCCTATGAGTGAGAACATGCAGTGTTTGGTTTTCTGTTCCTGTGTCAGTTTGCTGAGAATGATGGTTTCCAGGTTCATCCTTGTCCCTACAAAGGACATGAACTCATCGTTTTTTATGGCTGCATAGTATTCCATGGTGTATATGTGCCACATTTTCCCTGTCCAGTCTATCATCAATGGGCATTTGGGTTGGTTCCAAGTCTTTGCTATTGTAAACACTGCTGCAATGAACATACGTGTGTATGTGTCCTTACCGTAGAACGATTTATAATCCTTTCGATATATATTCAGTAATGGGATTGCTGGGTCAAACGGAATTTCTATGTCTAGGTCCTTGAGGAATTGCCACACTGTCTTCCACAATGGTTGAACTAATTTATACTCCCACCAACAGTGTAAAAGTGTTCCTATTTCTCCATATCCTCTCCAGCATCTGTTGTCTCCAGATTTAATTTAAAAATTTTTAATAAATTTATTTTTTTAATAAATTTATATTTATAAAATATTTTATTTTTATTTTTTTGAGACAGAGTCTCACTCTGTCACCTAGGTTGGAGTGCAGTGGCATGATAACGGCTCACTGAAGCTTCAGCCTCTGAGGCTCAGGCAATCCTCCTGCCTCAGCCTCCCAAGTAGCTGGGACTACTGGCATGCACTTCGCTAATTTTTTTATTTTTTGTAGAGATGGGGCCTCAGTAAGTTGCCCAGGCCTATCTCAAACTTCTGAACTCAGGCAATCTTCTCACATCAGCCTTCCAAAGTACTACTATTATAGGTGTAAGCCACCATGCCTGGCCAATAAAAAGTTTTAATGAATTTATTAGGTTGAACTACTGATGGCCAACCACTTTTGATATACAAAAGTGGGAATTTTACATGGGTTCAACCCAATACTCTAGAACTTAGATGATTAACAATAATCAGAGACAAATGAAAGAGAAAAAATATCATAAAGAAACTCATACATAAATATACTCTCAAATTTTGTAAGAAAATATAGGATTAAATAAAAGAGGGAAAAAAAAGAAAATACAGGATTAAAAAAAAAAATTTAGGGGCCAGGCATGATGGCTCACACCTGTAATCCCAGCACTTCGGGAGGCCAAGGTAGGAGGATTGCTTGAGACTAGGAGCTCAAGATCAGCCTGGGCAACAGAGTGAGACCTCCTGTCTACTAAAGATTTTTTTAAAAATTAGCCAGGTGTGGTAGTACATGCCTGTAGTCCCAGCTACTTGGGAGGCCGAGGTGGGAGGATCACTTGACCCCAGGAGGTCAAGGCTATAGTGGGCTGTGATTGAGCCACTGAACTTCAACCTAGATGACAGAATGAGATCCTGTCTCAAAAAATATATATACATTTCTTTTTTCTTTTTTTTTTGAGGCTCCCAGCCTCAAGCGATCCTCCGACCTTGGCCTCCCAAAGTGTTGGGATTACAGGTGTGAGCCATCATGCCTGGCCCCCAAGATTTTTTAAAATCCTGTATTTGTATGAGTTTCTTTAAGAAAAAAAAAAAAAACTTATACATATATACATACACATACACATACACACACAAACACACACATATATATATGGATTAGAGAAGGTCTTCCTAAGCATAACATAAAATACAGAAGACAAGAAGACAAGCTAGGCATGATAGCTCACGCCTGTAATCCCAGCACTTTGGGAGGCAGAGGCGGGTGATCACCTGAGGTCAGGAGTTCAAGACCAGCCTGGTCATTATGGCAAAACCCCATCTCTACTAAAAATTAAAAATTAGCTGGGTATGATGGCACATGCCTATAATCTCAGCTACTTGGGAGGCTGTGGCAGGAGAATCACTTGAACCCAGAGGTTGCAGTGAGCTGAGATCTGGGTCTTGCCTGGGTGACAGAGCAAGGCTCCATTTCAATAAATAAATAAACAAACAAACTTTGGCCAGGCGCAGTGGCTCATGCCTGTAATCCCAGCACTTTGGGAGGCTAAGGTGGGACGGATGACGAGGTCAAGAGATTGAGATCATCCTGGCCAATACGGTGAAACCCCATCTCTACTAAAAAATACAAAACTTAGCCAGGCATGGTGGTGTGTGCCTGTAGTCCCAGCTACTTGGGAAGCTGAGGCAGGAGAATTGCTTGAACCCAGGAGGCAGAGGTTGCAGTGAGCCGAGATTGCGCCACTGAACTCCAGCCTGGCCCCTGGCAACAGGGCGAGACTCTGTCTCAAAAAAATAAAATAAAAATAAATAAATAAATAAACTTCTGATGGCAAAATGAACCATCAGCAAAGTTAAATACCAAACTTGGAGAAAATACTTGTAAAAAGTCAATACAAACAATCTAATAGAAAAGGAAAAAGATTAGACAATTCATGGAAGAATTTTAAGTGGCAAATAAAACACATGAAAAGATGCTCAATGTAACTGGAAAAATGAAAATTAAAACAACCCTCATCACTTAGTACACCTAGGCAGGATAAAATCAGACTACTGTATGTTGGAGCAGGCAGTATTCAGCCATGGGCCTGCACAGTTCTTGTCTTCTTCCACTTTGACAGGAAGAAGTGTGTGGTTCTTTCTCATGTTCCCTGTTCCACCAGAGTGGGAAGTGGTGTAAACAGAGGAAGAAGCAATAAGCCATAAGAGAGAGGGATCTAAGCCATTGAGTTTTAATAAAATATGACCAGATAATTTCTTTAATGTTTTTCTGTGTCAGGTTGGCTAAATCAGTGAGAAGCAAAAAATCCTTCATCATCCAGAAATGCACTTGCACAATTCAATATGGCAGCCATTAGCCACATGTGGCTATTTAAAATTAAATTCATTAAATTAAATTGAAAATGAGTTCCTTGCCAGGTACAGTGGGCCACACCTCTAATCCCACAACTCTGGGAGGCAGATCGCTTGAGCCCAGGAGTTTGAAACCACCCTGGGCAACATGGCAAAACCCTGTCTCTACAAAAATTACCTGGGTGTGGCAGTGTGCCTGTTGTCCTAGACACTTGGGAGGCTGAGGCAGACGGATTGCTTGAGCCTAGGAGGTCGAGGCTCCATGATCACACCACAGAGACCCTGTCTTCCTTTTTTTTTTTTTTTTTTTGAGACAGTCTTACTCTGTTGCCCAGGCTGGAGTGCAGTGAGGTGATCTCAGCTAACTGCAATCTTCGCCTCCCAGCGTCAAGCGATTTTCCTGCCTCAGCCTCCTGAGTAGCTGGGACTACAGGTGTGTGCCAACACACCCAGCTATTTTTTGTATTTTTAGTAGAGCTGAGGTATTGCCGTGTTGGCCAGGCTGGTCTCAAACTCCTGACCTCAGGTGATCTGCCCACTTTAGCCTCCCAAAGTGCCAGGATTACAGGTGTGAGCCACTGTACCTGGCCCAGAGACCCTGTCTTAAAAAAAAATGGTCTCTCCTCTGTCTCACCAACCACATTTCAAGTGCTCACTAGCCACATGTACAGTAGCCATACATGTCAACCACATTTCAAGTGCACACTAGCCACATGTACATTAGCCATATGTGTACTAGATAGCACAGATATAGAACATTTCCATTATAGGAGAAAATTCTATTAGGCAACATTGATAGACTATTACTATAAACCACAATCTATCCTTCACGCAAAGCCTAACATCTCAAGAAGATAATTCCTTCATGTTTTTTCCTTTGTCCACCACCTTTCATTTTTGGAAGTTATACTACTAACCAAATTAGTTTTATCTCCACTAGGAAATCCATTCAGACTGTAACTCTTACTTTTTTTTCTTCCAAATCAACTGTCCCAAGCAGTGATACTGTTAGGTGCTATCTAGATGGATTTTCTAGATGAGTGTTTTCTGAAGCCTTTCGAGAGGATACCATTCTATTAATTCCCAATAGCAAATCATATCCCTCCTTTTTCAGGGCCTCAGCAACCATTCAAAAGGGATCAGCCTTTCTGGATAAAATACCAGAAGTCCACTCAGATGTCCCTAGCACACTATTGAAAAAGAATCATGATCAGAGATTCATTCTTCTGCACGTGGCCTGGCAATGAGCCATTCAAAACCCACAAAAGCAACCTGGAAGTCTGATCAGAGGCCGGGAATTCCAGATTAGGTAAGATCTAAGCTACTGCCATCCTACTGTGTAACAGGCATTTTTAGGCCAGCGCTTCAAAGAGAGGTCTAACACATGTGAAACCATCCCCATCAGTGTATCATTAATGTTTCCAAAGGGAAGGAGATCTTAATCTACAATCTTTCTCCCTAGCTGTCCTGGGGCCAAGAGGGAGAACAGTCAGGGGTCTGGTCGCATATCTCAAAGTAAAGGGAAAATCAGCCCACCAGAATGAATACCTGTCATGGATAAGTGGGAAAAGTCATGACTTCTTTCCTCTTTCCTGTGAATTCTAATTCTATAAGGTCCTACGTTTAGATAAATACTATCCATATTCCTGGTAAAGAGTTAAAAATGCCCACAATGACATTCTCTACAAAATCCTGACATGAAATACATGAAACTAGAGCTGCCTGGCACAGAGTACTAACTCTATAGGCTTCCCTGCACAAACTTTATATGAAGTCCTCAATTCCACATATAGTGCACAAACACTGAAAGGCCATGGCTCCTGAAAACAGCTCCATAAAAAAAGAATGCACCATTTTCAAAACTTTGATAGCAACGTTCGTCAGCTCAAGGCTTCAGAAGGCCATTCCTGCCTGACCACCTTAAATATTTGTGGTTTCAGTCTGGCAGTTTCTCTGAAGCCAAACACATATACTTTCTCAGTGTAAGCCTGCTCACTGTAACTGCATACCACTTTGGGAACAGGGAATTCAGGGGAGCCTAACTGCATAATTGGGCTCTAACACAATTGAGCTTTTGATTGAAAACTCTGTTGCTGAGTTTGGCCATCCCTTTAAAACTCAGGTTGGAAAGTGTGAAAATATCAACAATGAAGTGACAATTTAACTTCTCTGCTAATGGTAGGACACAGGATGAACAGCTGGGGACAGAGCTCAGACCTTCCTCCCTCTAGGCCTGGAACTCACATGGGAGCAGAAGAACCCTGGTTCTGCAGACCACACTTTCCACAATGTTTCCACCGGGCTGCCACTGACAACCTTGTAGGTTTGTGAAAGTGTATTTTAAAGGGAGAACAGTAGCCATAGGTATCTGCTGGAGCCAGCTGCAAAGTGGACTGAAAGGTACCAGCTGCAGAGAACTACCAGAATCAAGAATGTTTGGAGGTACTAAGGTCCTGTGGTGAGATCTTATCCTAATGGGTATGCTTTTCAACTGTCCAAATGCTCAAGGCAAAGGAAAGGTGGGGCAGGGGATATATCAATGGGAGAGAAAGGCAAAGAGTGGAAAAAATACCGAAAGGCACATTTATGTGTACATGTGCTGCACATGCACAAACACACAAGGTCCCAAATATCCCATGACCAGAATTCTATATGCTTTCTGAATGTTTTCCTTAACTAACTTGAGAAATTAAGGACAGTCACATTTTTTTTCTACTAAGAACTTCTACCTTGGCTTCCCACAAAAAATAACAATAACTAAAATACTGACAATGGAGAAAAGGACAGAAAAGTTTTCTAACATTACTTTCACTTCCCTAATGAGGCAAGATTCAGAACACAGACCAAAAAACGTCCTCTTTCTATGTTCTCAAAGGAGCTAAAATCTTTTACAACTGATGGACTTGGTGTAGATTCCCATGACCTAGAGACATCATGAAGAAACTTCTAATCCACCAACCTGACCCTTGATGTGGACAAAGCTAGGGCTACTATTCTGGGAATGGGAATGGCACTATATTACAGGAGAATCCTGCACTCCCTCTAATGCCCACAGGTGACACAGTGTCAGTGTGTCTGAAAGCCATGACTCTGAGGAGAGCTGGAGTCCTCACTTCTAACAAAACGTCAGACCTCACAGTAGCAGAATAGAGCCGAATAGTAAAACATTAGCAGGTGAAATGGCTTCCAATGCTAAGACAGAAACAAGGTCAATTAGCAGGCCAAGTTAAGGGTGAAACTTTCCTCCCTTTATGCCCGATCCACCCCATTACCCAGCCAGCAGCCCCACAGGTAGGGATAAGGACAGGGGAATGACTTCCATGAACTCAATGCTATCTGAGAACTCTGGCATACATGAACACATCCACTGATCAGAAGGCAGACTTACCGCCTCTCCCCGTTGTGCTCAAACTTGATTCTGACGTCACTCTGCCAAAAGGAATGATAGACAGGTTAGAGGATTCTCTGGAATGTATCACTCCTGCCATTCCCAGGTAAGCCTTAGGCATTCCGTTAGCGACATTAGGCAAACATCCCTGATGGCTCCTGGTCCAGCTTCTCTTCTCAGATCGGCATGGGCATTCCTTCCCAGTGAGTTAAGACTTCCAGTTCTAACATTAGGGGCAACAAAGCTCATAGGATAAAATCCCTAGACGGCTGCTGTTTCTAGCTTCATACACACCCTATATCTACAATTGGCTCTGGAAGTTTCTCCCACTCTATCACCTCCTGACCAGAATACCTTTCCTTCTTGGCTGATGTGACTGAAGACAAAAAGAAATTTTGCTGCTGATGCTTTCTAGCTATATGATCACAAGCAAGTTACTTATCCTCTACGGATCTTAGTTTTTCCATCTATAGAGTAAGGCTAAACATCCCTTGCAGAGTTCTTATGACAACTAAATGTAAGCAAAATACCTGACACATAGCAGACATGCAACATTTGGTTTTTGCTGCTGCTACCACTGGTACCACTGTCATTGATTTCCCATGACCCTACCAAGGCTACCCCACTGGGAGTACAGTAGGACCCTGAAAAAATTACCTTATATACTGTCCCCAGCCTTTTCCAAAACAACCACCATGACAAGCTGTAAACTGTAGGAGAGCAGAGATCAGGTCTATCATGTTTCTGTATCCCGAGTGCCAAACAAAGGAAATGGGGTATAATATTTGTGCTTAATAATATTTGCTAAGTGGTTGAATGAATTGAAAAACAGAACTAAGTATAAATATGAGAAATAAGAGGAAGTGGAAGTGTTAAAATGACAAAGAACAAATTAAGGAAGAAGAGATATTGCAAGAGGGCAAACAACTTGAGGGGGTTTAAAAAAATGACAGGGAAGGGAGAAAGATATTACAGAAGAACAGGTATAGAGGAAAAGAAAGGTAAGATGGGCAGGAAACTAGCAAATAATAGAGATGAAGGAGAGAATGAAGTCACAGTCAATGAAGAATTATTATACTGAGGAAGACAAATTAATAGGCTGTGACAGGCTAGGCACCGTGGCTCACACCTATAATCCCAGCACTTTAGGAGCTCCAGGCGGGCGAATCACAAGGTCCCAAGTCTGAGACCAGCCTGGCCAACATGGTGAAACCCTATGTCTACTAACAATACAAAAATTAGCCAGGCGTGGTGGCACATGCCTGTAATCCCAGCTACTCAGGAGGATGAGGCAGGAGAATTGCTTGAACCTGGGAGGCAGAGGTTGCAGTGAGCCAAGATCATGCCATTGCACTCCAGCTCTGGGCGACAAACCAAGACTCCGTCTCAGAAGAAAAAAAAATAGGCTGTGGCTTGGAAAAAAGAGTACTTAAGAGTATCTGAAGATAAGGAGCACACAGCAGAGAAGATGCCAGAAAAGGGAATGAGTTTGAAAGGTAGGGTGGGTCCCTAAAGGACTCCCTTTCCCCAAGGCATTAGGGCACTACATTTCTCTTCCAGGTCAATGAATTACTAGAGTGGTTCTAATTTACACTATAAATATTATTAAAGACCCCAAAGAGCTTTTGCTTATGTGGATTATATCTATTGATATTTATCATATTCAAAATTAAAACAGAGAAAATTTACTTTATTCATTTAAAATGGCAAATAAAGGCCAGGCACAGTGGCTCACCTCTGTAATTCCAGCACTTTGGAATGCCGAGGCAGGTGGATCACTGGAGGCCAGGAGTCTGAGACCAGTCTGGCCAACATGATGAAACCCTGTCTCTACTAAAAATAAAAAATTATGCCGTGAGTGGTAGCACATGCCTATAATCCCAGCTACTCAGGAGGCTGAGGCAGGAGAATCGCTTAAACCTAGGAGGCGGAAATTGCAGTGAGCTGAGACAGCGCCACTGCACTCCAGTCTGGGTGACAGAGTGAGACCCTGTCTCAAAAAAAAAAAAAAAAAATACAGCCCTAATATAGCCTTCTTATCCTTTAAGAACACATGGACCGCTTTATCCATTAATAATAATGATAATAGCTAACGTTTACTGAGCATTTACCATGTACCAAGCATTGTTCTAAACGTGTTTGCATATATTAATTAAACTGATCCTCACAACAAGTACCATTATTATCCCTATTTTACAGAAAAGAAAACTGAGTTACAATGAGATTAAGTAAGTTCCCCCAAGGTCAGGTCATTTCGCTTATAAAGGAAGAGGTAGGTTTTGAACCCTGGAAGCCTGACTCTTAACTACCAGGCTATGCTACAACTTAAGTGTCACACAGGCACTGAGAGCAGTTTTTCATTATCTTCTTTTTCTCTTTCCCCTGAAATTCTAAGCAGTTACTATGACAAGAGCCCTCCAAAGTAGAGTTGCCATGCTCTGATGTGCAGTCTCCAGCTTCCCACACTACTTCCTCAACTGGCTCTGCAGTATCCGAAGTGCTCTGTGAAATTTGTAGTCTTGTCTGTCCCTACAGTTGGGTTACATATCCTTTTACCTGCTCCTGCCTACAACCCAGGATACCTTGCTGTAGCTCTATTATTTAATTAATAAATTTTATTTTCAGAACAGTTTTAGGTTTACAGAAAAACTGAGCATATAGAGCAGAGTTCTGAAATATCCCTCTCCACCTCACACACAGTTTCCCTATGATTATTATTGTTATTATTGAGATAGGGTCTTACTCCCACCACCCAGGCTGACGGGCAGATGTGTGATCATGGCTCACTGCAGCCTTGACTTCCTGGGCACAGACGATTCTCCCACCTCAGCCTCCCACATAGCTGGGACTACAAATAGGCACATGTCACCACACTGGGCTAATCTGTAACTTTTTGTGCGATGGGTCTTGCCATGTTGCCCAGGCTAGCCTCAAACTCCTGGACCCAAGCAATCTGTCCACCTTAGCCTCCCAAAGTGCTGGGATTACAAGTATGAGCCACTGCACCCAGCCAGTTTCCCCTATTACTAATATCTTACATAAGTATGGTACATTTCTTTTTGTAACAATTAATTAAACAATATTGATAAATCAACTGAAGTCTATAGTTTATTCACTTATTTCCTCAGGTTTTTATTCTTTTGTTTTTTGTCTAATTTTTTTTTTTTTTTTTTTTTTTTTTTTTTTTTTTTTTTTTTTTTTTTTTTTTTTTTTTTTTTTTNGGGCCAGGTATGGTGGCTCATGCTTCTAATCTCAACACTTTGGGAAGCCAAGGCAGGAGGATTGCTTGAGCCCAGGCAATGAGATTTTGAGATCAGTCTGGGCAACATAGCAAAATGCCATCTCTACAAAAAATACAAAAATTAGCCAGTTGTGGTGGCACATGCCTGCAGTCTCAGCTACTTGGGAGGCTGAGGGAGGAGGACTGCTTGAGCCCAGGCAGGTTGAGGATGCAGTCAGCCATGATCACACTACTGCACTCCAGCCTGGGTGATAGGGCAAAGATTCTGTCTCAAAAACAAACAAACAAACAAATAAATAAATAAATTTAAATTGAGGTTAAAAAAAAACACATAATAGCTCTCGTTCTTAAACTGGGGTATTATATGTATTTTTCTAATTTTATTTTTTTTAGTTTTGGAGACAGAGTCTCGCTCTGTTGCCCAGGCTGGGGTGCAGTGGCACGATCTCAGCTCACTGCAGTCTCTGTCTCCTGGGTTCAAGTGATTCTCTTGCCTCAGTCTCCCAAGAAGTTGGGATTAGAGACGTGCACCACCACACCCAGCTAATTTTTGTACTTTTGGTAGAGACGAGGTTTCACCATGTTGGCCAGGTTGGTCTCAAACTCATGACCTCAAGTGGTCTGCCCAACTTGGCTTCCCGAAGTGCTGGTATTATAGGCATGAGTCTATAATTTATAGTCTTTCTATAGAAAGACTATAAACTGCCCCATGTCTATTCAAGAAAGGTTTGGTTGCCAATTGAGTCTCCTGCAAATTAAAAAAAAAATAAATAAATAGAAACTAAAAAAACTAAAAACGGGCCTTTAGTTTGTAGGACTGTTTGGATCTCAGAACTGCAGATAACAGATTATGGATCCACAAAAATCAACATACACACCTCACACACTCTTAAGTTTTTTTTTCTGCTGTAATCTCAAACTCGATCTAGCCATGTGTCTACATCAACTACTTTCCTAAACTAGTCACCTTCTCAACTATTACTTTCTTTTTAGAGATGGGGTCTTGCTATGTTGCCCAGGCTGGAGTGCTGTAGCTATTTACAGGCACTATCATTGGGCGCTACAGATTTAAGCTCCTGGGTTCAAGCGATCCTCTTGCCTCAGCCTCCCAAGAAGCTGGGACTATAGGTGCATGTCACCATGCCTGGCTCAGTGTCACTATTTCTAACATTGGTACTGCTGTGCTCTCAGCTACACAGGATCAAACCTCTGAGTAATGCTTGATTCTTTCCTACTTTTCCCCCTCACAGCCAGGGAGCAAATTCCAATTCTCCTCTCAGAGGCCTCCGGTATGACTCTGCTTCCCATTCTCCCCGACATCTCCCCGACATCACATCTCAGTGAGACCCCTTCCCCTTGCTCCCAGAGTCCTAAAGCCAACTTTATACATTTCAGTTCCCCATCTCCAACTCTCTCTGCATCCCTCTACAGTTTCAACCATCTCAATCACCTTTTTCACCGTATTCCTTCTTTGTTCATAAGGTAATTAGTGATTTCCATGATCTATGGAATAAAGTCTAAATTCTCTGCTATCACTCAAAGCCCTCTGGGATTTAGGTTCATTCAGTTTACCTGATCATTTCACACTATCTGTTCCCCACAGGAATTCCCCTTTAAAGCCAGATCAATGCTCACCTTGTTTCCTGCTATATGCCATGTTTGCTTCCTCCCCTAGGCCTTTAATCATTCTGTTTTCTGACCTGGAGTGCCACCCTTCCTCCTTTCCACCTATCTAAACGTTTATACTTCCTTCACAGCCTAGTTCAAGTACCCTTCCACCTGAAATGACTCCATAACTCTTTTGGCCCAAGCTCATCTTTCACTTTTCTGGCCTTCTATAGCACTCACTCTCTGTACCACACAGTGAGGCACAGTCATATCTTACTTTCTTTCTTTCTTGCATGTAATCTTCATTTCCCAGTAAGACTTCATGATTCCCAGGGTACAGGGAATATAACATACATTTCTTTTGTATGTCTAAGAATCTTGACCATAGGCACATGTTAAGGTGAATGGAGAGTATCACAGCTACTGAGAAAAAAAAGTCCCAGCACAAAACTTCAGGTCTAAGCAGCTTCAAGTCCCCTGCCCACCACAGGCAATGTGGTGAGAGCAATAGTGAGACCCACGCTCGGGAGACAGACAGTGCAGGCCTCCACGTTGAGCTACAGATTCAGGAACTCAGCAGGGGCAACAGGAATAACGGACAATAACACTAAAGCAGAAATGACCTTCTCAAAGTCTGAACTCAATAGCTGAACATGTAACCCAAGAAGCTTTCAAGAATTCATAAAAATCAGTATTTATTCACCAAAGGTTTGTGAACTAATTTGACCTGGCAAAGGCCTCAGCCACCATCCTTCTTATCCTCATTCTGATTCTGTACTGATTCCTCTCCCTGCATTTGCTACAAACCTTTGACGCCTCCCCTATTTTTGGAACTGCAGTCCTTATTTTGCCAAAGAGAGTTAAGTAAATGAAAGAAAAAAAAAAAAAAATTAAAATTTTAGTTTTAAGCATGACTCAGGAAAATTGTAGGAGGTCAGTGGAAGAGATGATTATAAAGCAACCTTCTTACAAAATATAATGCCAGGCTTGTGTGTTGTTTTATATCTTATTTTCTAACTGGCCAGCCAATCTTATCAATAACCCTTGAAAGAGAAAGGAAGTAGTGAAGAGTCAGGTCTTTCACACTGAAAGCAAAAGACAGTCTGCGTAATCACTGACCCTGCTTGGGGAACAGCTCCTGGAATTCTCTTCCTCTAGAGCTGATAGCCAAGGCCCTGATCTGCTTGTGCCTACCATGAAGAAAGCAGCTTTTCCATTCTGAAGCACCCACTCTCGAATATCTAGAGGGTTAGATCCAGAACCCAGACTCTGTTCAAGTATCTACCTACCATTTTGATAAGATTCAAGGGACACAGGAACCCACGGAAATAAGGATTCCATTTTTTCCTCCATTGGGATTTTCAGAAATTAGTCTAGCTTCAGTAATGATAATGCTATAAAGACAGAAAAACCTTAATCCTTTCAGTTCCACTACACTATACACAGTTCTGATTAGAAGCTTTCCCCAAAGCTCACATCTGCAGTGCCAAAACATAAGAAGTGACATAACCACTACAACTTTACATTTGTACATTTGTTCTACACCGTATAAAACACTTCACATTCTGTCTATGATCTTACAACAATCTTAAGAGGTAGACACAGTGCGTATTAAGTCTATATTTCAGAAGGAAAAACTCACTTCAGAAAGGTTATATGGCTTATACATGGTAAAAATTACTCTGACTAGGAATCAGAAGACTTGGATTTCCTTCCTGCCTCTACTCAATACCTTTGTTCATTGAGTAAGAGCTGTGTACACCTTATACACATGCCTACAGTGTTGATGTTAACTGTTGTTGAAATCACTCTATAAAATCCTACGTTAATAAACGAATAACAACTCTAAGACTCCTAAGCCAGCCAGCACTTTTTTTTTTGCTGATCTCAGTTTTTAATTGCGGCAGGGCTTCACACACTTGCACACACACATACTCTCTCAGGCATCAGATCTTGTTGAAAGCTGCAATGCTGATGCTCTACACATGCTCTTAAACTTGGTAATCTCCTCTTCCAGCAAGTTTGTCCCACCTTGTTGTCCTCCACCACACACTGAATCTGCAGCTTCCAGGTACCGTAGCTCATGGGCACCAGCTTGAAGGTCCCCCAAGACCAGCCCATACAGCTGGGTGGAGCACAAACAGGCCTCCAATTGGGCTACATTGGTCTCAATGTCCCAAGGCTTGACGTCCAGCAGGATGGAGGACTTGGCCACCAGCGCAGGCTTCTTGGCCTTCTTCTCCACATACTGCCGCAGCCACTTCTCTCACAGCCAGGCTGCCTCCTTGTCTTCCTCCTCACTGTCACTGCCAAATGGGTCAATGTCATTGTCCTCGTCACCCTCTGCTGGTGTGGCTGCCTTCTTGGCTGGGGGCTCCACTTGGCACATGAGAGACACATGCTGGGTCTGCACTGCTCTGTCCCTGTGGCCAGGCAAGCTCTTCTCCAGCATGTTTAGCCATAGGCCAGCATTCTTTTCACCACACTAAGTTGTCAGACCCGTAGAGAACTAATTGCCATTAATAATGCACTGTGAGCTGATGACTGCTAAAGGGACACTGCACATCATGGCCTGCAAAACTATTCTTAGGCCCTAGATGTGCCACACATCTAAGAATGTTCAATTAGCTCTAATAATGCTGTAGGCTTCCAGAGACCCAATATACAGAAGGAAGAATACAGAGAATGCTCCTAGTATATGCACTCCTAGAATGCAGAGAATACAGAATCTACTTCCTAGAAAATAGTTAATAGGTCCGGGCGCAGAGGCTCAAGCCTGTAATCCCAGCACTTAGGGAGGCTGAGGCAGGAAGATCACGAGATCAAGAGATTGAGACCATCTGGGCCAACATGGTGAAACCCCGTCTCTACTAAAAATACAAAAATTAACTGGGCATGGTGGTGTGCGCCTGTAGTCCCAGCTACTCGGGAGGCTGAGGCAGGAGAGTTGCTTGAACCTGGGAGGCAGAGGTTGCAGTGGGCCGAGATTATGCCACTGCACTCCAGCCTGACGCCTGGTGACAGAGTGAGACTCTGTCTTAAAAAAAAAAAAAAAAAAAGAAAACAGTTAATAGCTCATTGCCCATGTACTTCCATAGCTGCTTATTTGTTCTCAAATGCATTCTTTTTAAATTAGTTACCAAGCTTGTTTACTTAGGGAACAGGATGTCTCAAGTCTTGCCAAGCAGAGGTACTAAATTAGGTTTTTCGGTTCTTCCAGGCCTCAACCCCCAAACAATCCTGTTAATGAACCCACAGCTACTCTGACTTTCCTTACTGGGCCAAGCTTGAACCCCATGAAGCTGTGCCAGTCTTGACTCTGTCTTGTAGCCAGCACTGCCATTCTCATAGTGAAAGCCTGTTTACCTCTGCCAGCACCATTCCACCCATGAATAAACAACCTTTCCAGCTAGCCAAAATACTTAGTTTTTTTCAGCTGGGACTCCACAATTTGTATCTGTAATCCAATTTGACATTTCTTAACCAAATTTGGCAACTCTTCACCATTTAAATTAGGTTTTGATCTTTCATTCCTCTCTCTTCCTAAGCATGGACTTTCTGGCAGAAGAACTGGTAATGAAGAAAACTGTTCATTCTATCCCAGACGTAAGCTAACAAAAACTACAATAATAATAATAAATGTATAACTCTGTGAATTATAAAGTCCTATGTTAGAGGATTATTAACAACTCCAGGCTCCTTTCATTATACTAGGCTATAAATACCTCTCCCCTACATCTTCCCGGCACTGCCTCTTACCCCATTTTTTTCCCCAGAAATATATCTGTTGAGACTTTCTCTTTTTCTGCTTCCAGAATTTTGCTGAAGAATATCTCTCCTGGTCAGAAGCTAAACATGTGCTACTCTTCCCAGGACAGGCCATTCTATAACCTTGACTTCATTAAGAGGAAAATCTGTCTTAGCATTTTCTTTCCCTTTTTGCCCAATATTAACATAATACTTTGAATTTCGATTTCTAAATAGCCATACTAGTTCCACATCTTCACAATCTTCCTAAAACAGAATCTTAGATAGAATTCCCATTATTAGCTTATCACAATGTATAGAAACTCATGATGTATATGTAAGGAATGAACATACCAATGCATCTCTACACATCTCCAAGCATATATGTAATTTCTTTTTTTTTTTTTTTTGAGACGGAGTTTCACTCTTGTTACCCAGGCTGGAGTGCAATGGCGCGATCTCGGCTCACCGCAACCTCCGCCTCCTGGGCTCAGGCAATTCTCCTGCCTCAGCCTCCTGAGTAGCTGGGATTACAGGCACGCGCCACCATGCCCAGCTAATTTTTTTGTATTTTTAGTAGAGACGGGGTTTCACCATGTTGACCGGGATGGTCTCGATCTCCTGACCTCGTGATCCACCCGCCTCGGCCTCCCAAAGTGCTGGGATTACAGGCTTGAGCCACCGCGCCCGGCCCATATATGTAATTTCTTGCCCAATAAATCAACAGTCCCTTACATAGTACATAAAATTGTGCTGTCTAATACAATAGCCACTAGCCACATGTGGCTATTTAATTAAAATGATACAAAATTTAAAATTTAGGCTGGGCACAGTGGCTGACGCCTGTAATCCCAGCACTTTGGGAGGCTGAGGTGGGTGGATCACGAGGTCAAGAGATACCATCCTAGCCAACGCGGTGAAACCCTGTCTTTACTAAAAACACAAAAATTAGCTGTGCATGGTGGCACGCGGCTGTAGTCCCAGCTACTCGGAAGGCTGAGGCAGAAGAATCACTTGAACCTGGGAGGTGGAGCTTGCAGTGAGCTGAGATAACACCATTGCACTCCAGCCTGGTGACCCAGCGAGATTCCGTCTCAAAAAAAAAAAATGTAGTTCTTTAGTTGTTCAACAGCCACATGTGGCTAGTGGCTACAATACCACATTGGACAGCACAGATATGAAACATTTCTGTCATCACAGAAAGTTTACTGGACAGCACTGATAGAGGCTGCTTATGAATAATACTATGGTAAGAAATGCTGATTAGAAGTATAGAATACAGGTCATGGGTAACCAATGCTTCTTACAAATCCCCTAAAAACTTGTCTGGGAAGTGAATTTCACTCCTGCAGCATGAATAGCAGATTTAAAAGTACATTTTGGTTTTAACAGGTAATCTGGATCCTTACCAAAAATTTCTTTTTCTCACTGGCCCCTGCACATGAGCTTGTTGTTACTGTGGGGCTGTTCAGAAGGGCTGAGCTGCTGCTGTTGTGTTTTTTCTTTAAAAACAAAAAAACTGAGGTTAATAATTTGTATCCTTCGTGCAATATTAAGTTTGACAACATTGAAGTAAATCGTGGATCCAAAGAGCCAGTACCTCTTGTTAAGATTACTTTCTAACAGTCAATCCTTTTCAGTCTTCTGCCTTCATAACCACTGGCTTCACTCTTAACAGTTCAGCAGGAGACACAGCAAAAGAGCAAGACTTCCCTCATCATGGCTTTTAGGCTCTAAGCAGAAGGATTCTTAAAAAGGAACCCTCCTTCAAGGAACTATCAGCGACCATTCTACCCCTCCTTTTCCCAGCCTGGTCCTTTTGGGCCTTCCAATTCAAGAAAGCTTTCTCTTTTAACCCACTAACTGGTATTCACGCTAATAGTCCAGTCTGAAGAAAGATCAGCTAACTTGAGCAATGTTAGCAGGCACACTCTACATAGGAAGACAGGAAGGAAAGTGAGGTCATTAGGCTCACGCGTGGGGGAGGGGACTCACTTCTGGTAAAATGCTCCTTCCAAAAGTGGTTTTGAATACAAATGAGTTATAGCAAGGGAGAACCCAAAAAGTCAAACAAAATAACATATGAAAATAGTGTTAAGAATGGGCCCTTATCTGTTTATACCTCCAGTACTGTAAGGTAACAACAATAAAAGCAGCTTTTTAAACTAATCCTTGTTTTAACATGAAACAAAAGGACTCACTCCCCCTGGGGTCCCTAGGATTCCTAAAGGCAGGAAATACTCTGGAAGGCTCTATCTAGCAGACCACAGACAGGAAAAGTTCTAGGGCCTTATACTATCTCTAGGAACCAATTCTGAAGAATTGGTAAACAAGGTGCAAATGAAAAGAAAGGAATTTAGCTGATAAACAGAACCACAAGGGAGAATGTCATAGACAAATTTTCACCAAATATGCCCAACAGAGCCAGCTGACACAGCGCTGGATATCCACTAGGTAGGAAAGCTCCCCATCATTCACTCCTCTCTGCAGGCCAAAGTACCCAAGAAACAGGTAAGTGGCACTATAGGTGAGAAGATTCTCAATGACACACAAGTTCAAATGTTAAGAAAAATAGGAAATGTTTTCCTAAAGAAGAATACAACTCTCAATAAAACATACACTCTCAACTACCTGCATTAATAAGGTGAAACAACTGTAAACTGTAATAACAAAATCAATCATTATTGCCTTTGGAATATACTATGTGACATTTTAATTAATAAATTTACCTTCCTAATTACATTTTACATAAGCTAATGCCAAATTAATTAATTTTTCCTGATTACATACTATAAGGTAGCTAAAAACATTCTGACTCAGGGATCATGAATCTGAATTAAATATGTGCCAATTATCAGTAAAGGAGAAAAACGTCTACGAATCTTGTCCCCATAACAGATGAAATGCTTACACAATCCAGATCATATATCCATACCTGCATGGTATATATCGCTTTTTTTTTTTTTTTGAGATGGTGTCTTGCTCTGTCTTGCCCAGGCTGGAGTGCAGTGGCACAGTGGCGCCATCTCAGCTCACCGGAGCCTTTGCCTTCCAGGTTCAAGCAATTCTCCTGTCTCAGCCTCCTGAGTAGCTGGGACTACAGGCATGCACCACCACACCTGGCTAATTTTGTATTTTTAGTAGAAACAGGGTTTCACCATGTTGGCCATGCTGGTCTCAAACTCTTGACCTCAGGTGATCCACCTGCCTCGGCCTCCCAATATCACTTTCCATTTAACCTTAGCTGGTTGGTATGTATCACTGTGCACTTAAGAGATTGTGAAAGGAAGGGGTCAAAACCTTTCAACCCTGATACTGAAGTATCTTTGGTTTTTCATATATTTCCCACTTGAAAACTCCTTCCCAACAAATCTCATTTAGCTCTGCCAGGGTCACACACACCTGCCTATTTGAGTGACCCGTGTCTTTGTTCTTCATGGTCTCATATCCAGGCATCCGGTGACGTCGGTTCATCTGGAGGGCCACCAGATCGTTCATGATTGAGTTCAATGCCTCCTGTTCGTCTGCAATGAAAGAAAGCACATGGACTAAAGATACTTCAATACAGACCAGCAAAGCTCTTTCACAAACTATATGACTAATACTTAGGGAGTTCTGCCCAGGTAAAATGACAGACCCTGTAACTATAATCACATGCAGTTGATACCACCCAAAAGGTCAGACTATGGTAATTTGAATTTTAATGGATTCTTTTTTTTCCTTTGAGACAAGATCTTACTCTGTCACTCAGGCTGGAGCGCAGAGGTGTGATCACAGCTCATTGCAGCCCTAAGCAGCCTTGAACTCTGGGGCTCAAGTGACTTTCCCACGTCAGCCTCCAGAGTAGCTGGGAACACAGGCGTGCACCACCATGCCTAGCAAATTTTTAAATTTTTTTGTAAAGACAGGGTCTCCCCATGTTGCCCAGGCTGGTCTCCAACTCCTCGACTCCAATGATCCTCTTGCCTCGGCCTCCCAAAGTGCTAAGATTATAATAGGTGTGACCCACCATGCCTGGCCTTTAATGATTTCTTAATAGCGCTCCAATCAGATTTCCAGCAGCAATATTTACCCATTCACTGCAGAGAAGGGACCTACTCAAGCAGAGCAATTTGTCCAGTGCCAGAGAAACAACCAGGAAAAATAGATGAAAAGTTGAACTGAAGAACAACACGGTACAATGTAATATGGTACTGAATGAAAAGATGAATCCATAGAGAGTTGATTATGGCACAGTGTCAGTCCCAGACTTATTCTTAAAGCATCATAAGGAGGCGAGCACATTTTAAAAGGTACCAAATAAAGACCTCAGGTAACTAGTTGCTTTGAACAAAAGTTGTTTTACAAGCCTAGCATTTGAATGCCGCCACCACCACCACCAACAACAACCCCCACAACTCTTTACAAGTTTATAGGCCTTCTACTTCCCATAGGGAAGTCAAAGGGCAGTTCTATTGTTTTTCCTCCCTAAACTGACCAGGCAATGCATTGTCTCCATCTTACTGGCATTACTTTTAATCCCCTTTTCTTGAAATAGCGTGGAGTACTAGAGTTTTCATCCATTGAAAACAACTGGCCAAAACCCACAACACAAACCGGCCCAATTCCATGTTTTACAAATGTTCCCCAGGTCCTTTAAGAAATCTTTGCCCATTCAAATAGCATTTGGAGATTCAAAATGAATAAATCTGTTGATCAGGAAGGGAACATGAGGGATGAGTTGTTATACTTGCTTTGGTGACAAGTGAGTCACTTGGGGGATTGGGGCAAACCTTAAAAGCAGCAAATACAAAAGACTCCACCCAAAGAGAGTGCCTATCTTCTGCCCTTTATCACTGTCCCTTGGAAATATTCTAATATCCTGTGGAAAGAAATGAACAGCATGAAACGTAGGAAGTAAAACTGCTCCAGTCTCTTCTCCCACCACTGATTGATTGATTGATTGATTGAGACAGGGTTTCACTCTGTTACCAGGCTAGAATGCAGTGGTGTAATCACAGCACACTGCAGCCTCCTCCACCCCTCAATCTCAAACAATCCTCCCATCTCAGCCTCCAGAGTAGCTGGGACTACAGGTGCATACCACCATGCCCTGCTAATGTTTGTATTTTTTATTGAGACAGGGTTTCACCATGTTGCCCAGGCTGGGTTTCAAATACCTGAGTTCCCTCGATCTTCCCTCCTTAGCCTCCCAAAATCCTGGGATTACAGGCGTAAGCCACCGTGCCCACCCCCTCCCCTTATTTGCTTATCCCCTTTTCCTAGACCAAATCTGCTCTCATGCCCTATATGCCCTCTGACGAGTTGCAGAAAATGACAAAGGTGCCTATAAAGTTTTTGCTTATTCAGGAAAGTAAAATTAGATTTAAAACTTGCAGGAAAAACACCAGAAGTGTAACTTCCCATATGATTCCACTTCAAAATATATACAAAAGTATGTATGAGAGTGACACAGTTGTAATATCAAAAGCATGCAGTAAAAGGGATAATGAATGAGGAGAAAGTGGGTATCTATAAAAAGACATCAGTCAAAATTAATAAATATAAATCCCATCAATTATTTTATACCTTCTAGCAATTTCCCTATAGCTTCCTTAAAGAAGGGAACTTGGCTGGGCAGCATGGCTCATGCCTGTAATCCCTGCAGTTTGGAAGGGCAAGGCAGGCTAACTGCTTGAGCCCAGGAGTTCAAGACCGGACTGGGCAACATGGCAAAACTCTGTTCTACAAAAAATTAGCTGCACATGGTGGTGTGTGCTGTAGGCTCAGCTACTTGAGAGGCTGAGGTGGAAGGATCACTTGAGCCCACGAGGTTAAGGCTGCAGTAAGCCATGATCATGCCACTGTACTCCAGCCTGGGCAACAGTAAGACCTTGTCCCAAAAAAAAAAAAAAAAAAAGGGAACTTGGTTTTTTGTTTTGTTTTTTACCCTCACAACCAAAGTTTAAAAATTGAAGCATAACATCTAAGCTAGGAAGATTGGCTTACATATAATATGCACAGGTTTATGTATTAAATGGCTTATATATTATTAAATATATATAAAATTAATTGGGTCAACTGTAATAATAAATTGGGATCAATATAAAGAGGATTATGACTAGGTGTTCTCTAAGGAGCATCCAACAATACTCCTAAAAACAGAACACAAGGAGTTATCAGTAACAACATTAACCACCCTAAGAATTGAGAATTCTCAGTTCTTTCAACTCAGATATTGAACGAAGATGGATGTGAATACACATACAGACACAGGCACACACAAACACATACCACTTTTTGAGTCAGATCCACAAGCATGACTGGAGAAATCATTTCTAATTCTGTATAACATGATGTTATTAAAAGACCTGGTTTATCAGGTTGACAAATTCTGTTTCCAGGAAGCTACCAATTCCTGGCATTACTTAATGAATAAACTTGTTTGGTAGTTCCAGAGCTGAGAACATACTAGAGGAACAGTTTGGCACTGTCATCTGAAATCTGGGACAACTGACACAAGTGAATCAGGGTTATAGAATCTAATTTTGTGTCAAAGTCAAATACATTCCTAGAGGTAAACAGATTCTGCAATTGATACTTCAGAGGATGCGTATAAAGATAGGAAGTAAATCAAGTGGCTCTTTCAGGCATTTCTTCCTGGATTGAGGATTCGTTTTTGTTTTTGTTTTCCTTCTAAAAAGCAGCTTCACTATGCACACTTGGCTGCCACAGGCCAGTTATCTCTGTGGTATGGACTGAGACTAATTGAATTAACAGCACTCCTTCAATGTGGCATTCCTTAAAAGCAAACAAACAAAACTTTTAAAAACAAGTAACAGGCCTGGTACAGTGGCTCCCGCCTGTAATCCTAGCATTTTGGGAGGCTGAGATGGGCGGATGACTTGAGGTCAGGAGTTCAAAACCAGCCTGGCCAACATGGTGAAACCCCATCTCTACTAAAAATACAAAAAAATTAGCTGAGCATGGTGGCGTGCGCCTGTAATCCCAGCTACATGGGAGGCTGAGGCAGGAGAATTGCTTGAACCCAAGAGGCAGAGGTTGGTGTGAGTCGAGATCACACCACTGCATTTCGGCGTGGTGACAGAGTGAGACTCCTCTCAAAAAAACCAAAAAACGAACAAAAAACCCCCGCAAATAACAGCAGCTTTCTTAGACTGCAGCAGTTAGGAATATGAACTTCAGAGTCAGAAAAATCTGGTAAAGAAGCCCAGAGCAAATCATTTTTCTCTCCAAACCTCAATTTCCTCATCTGTAATATGGCGATAAAGCATCATTTCACAAAGCTGCTGTGAGAGTTAAAAGCAAAAGAAAACCTACGAATTATTTCTTATGGAACCTAACAGTAATGCTAAAAAAATGCTGGCTATTATTATCATCAATGAGAAAAGGTCAATGGAAAAAGACTGGAGGCCATTTAATCTACCCTAATACTTAATTTTATTACTGAACTTTTATAAATCATTAACAATAATCATTTACTGAATACTTATGTATTATACATTAGAAAGTTTTTAAAGATAGTATAGAAGACATGTTAATAGAAACGAAAAAGAAAAAGAAAGTTTTAAAAGATACTTCAAGGTGTTCAAACTCTAGGGATAAAAGGATAAACAACAACACACAAATACAAAGTTGTATCAAAAAAAAGATAGAATTGGCCAAGCGCAGTGGCTCATGCCTGTAATCCCAGCACTTTGGGAGGCTGAGGCAGATGGATCACCTGAGGTCAGGAGGTCGAGACCAGCCTGACCAACATGGAAAAACCCTGTCTCTACTAAAAATACAATATTAGCCGGTCATGGTGATACATGCCTGTAATCCCAGCTACTTGGGAGGCTGAGGCAGAAGAATCGCTTGAACCCAGGAGGCATAGGTTGCAGTGAGTTAAGATTGCACCATTGCATACCAGCCTGGGTGACAAGGGCAAAACTCCATCTCAAAAAAAAAAAGAAAAGAAAAAAAAGCTGTTCCAGCTAGCTTATGAAATGAACTGAGAGAAAGGACATGAAGAATAAGCAATTAAGGGAACAGAGGGGAAGAATAGAGGGTCAGAGACTGATCCTCAGGGACTAACACTAATCAAGTAGAACGAGAAGATGGGAAGCTGAAAAGGAAGGCTTTAAGAGGACTGAAGAAAATAGGCCAGGCAAGGGAGCTCTCCTCTGTAATCCCGGCACTTTGGGAGGCCAAGGTGGGCAGATCGCCTGAGGTCTGGAGTTCAGGACCAGCCTGGCCAACATGGTGAAACACCATCTCTACTAAAAATACAAAAATTAGCCAGGCATGGTGGCACACGCCTGTAATCCCAGTGACTGTGGAGGCTGAGGCACAAGAATAGCTTGAACCCGGGAGGCAGAGGTTGCAGTGAGCCGAGACTGCGTCACTGCATTCCAGCCTGGGCAATAGAGTGAGACTCCGTCTCAAAAAAAAAAAAAAAAAAAAAGGATTGAAGAAAATAAGAGGGACAGGCCGGATGCACTGGCTTCCACCTGTAAGTCCAACATTCTGGGAGGCCAACGCA